TTGTGCAAGATCAAACACACTAAGCAAGTTGAGAAGCCAGGGTTGAAAAGGACAGTCTCACTCCATAGTGAGCCTTCTTAGCCATTGCACCTTTTCTCCACGTGATGAACAGATTTACAATAACACAGCAATGAATAAGGTACTCAGAGTACAGTTTAAACAAAGGAAAATGATTCTGAACAAACACACACATACACACACACCCCCAACCCAAAACACTGAAATGGTAAAGGCATCAGATTTTAGTGGTGACTGTTTTCCTGTGGTATAGTCAGAAAAAGTTTCTTCATATTTCTGGTTTTCTATATTTTCCAATATTTAGTTAACAATAGTATATCTTTTGTATTTTTTTTAATTCTTGAAAAAACAACAGAGCAATAATTAAGAACTATAATATGGGAGGGCCCCAAATTACACTCTCAAGAAAATATACAAATTTTGGAGGCAAAACTTATGAAGAGCTTCAAATTTAAATTGTAGAAGTCCAGCATGCCTCCTAGAAAGTGAGCAGAAAGACTGTGGCTTACACCACTTAAGAGTATTAACTTCTTACAGTTGGGATAATGTCTCTTCCTCACTTTTATTGGTGTGTGTCTTTTTTTAAAAAAAAAAATTCTTTTTTTAACATTTATTCATTTTTGAGAGACAGAGAGAGACAGAGCATGAACAGGGAAGGGGCAGAGAGAGGGAGACACAGAATCTGAATCAGGCTCCAGGCTCTGAGCTGTCAGCACAGAGCCCGACACGGGGCTCAAACTCACAAACTGTGAGATCATGACCCGAGCCAAAGTCAGACACTCAACCGATTGAGCCATCTAGGCGCCCCTTGTTGGTATGTGTCTTAATGGCTACCATGAAGTTATGAATCAGATGGCCATCCATTGCTAAACCTGAATTGATTTGTGCTTTGTCATATGTTTTTCCTGGGTGACTTGACTTAAGAAGTAGGTAAGAAAGGGGGATAAGTAACCTAGCAAACAAACAGGTAAACATTACTACAGAAAATCATGTATGCATTTTTGCTGGATTCCTTTCAAATTATTGGCTACAAATCTCAACTTGGCGCTCAGAAATACAAGATGCTAGTTGTTTGCCTATTAAATTCAATTTTTTCCTCTTCAAAATATCTATTTCATCCTTTCACTCTCCTCAAATCCTCCACTAATGTTCCTCTATTCCTTCACTCTTAGATGATGCTTTTGCTCCATGTTTTATGGACAAAATAGATGTGATCAGAATCACTGCATATTTCCACTACTAATTCCAATAACCTACCTGCATCTGTAATCACATAGTCTGTCTTCCCTTCTGCACAAATGTAAGCAATGTCTCCACTCTTCTCTGAGACCAACTGTTCTACCTGTGCTATGCAGCCAAGCTCCTTTCCTTTCACTTCATATCCGTTACTCTTCTCTACCGCATCATTCAGTTTCCTTCTCTAATTGATCACTCCCACAGACATAAAAAATACTCCTTAATATTAACTTTCTTTTTACAAAAAATAAAGATCTTTCTTGAGCCTGTTTATTTCTCCAGACTTTGCTCCATTTCTCTGCTCCCTATTGCAATAAATTTATATTTTTTAACTGTCTGTATTCCCCAAGTCCAATTTTTAACCTCCCAATATCTCTTGAAGATACTAAATCTTTCCTGTTGCTGCATTGAAGGAATCTTGTCTTCAGTGATCAGGAGTAAACTATGTTAAATGTTGCCTTATCTAGAATTTAGTGATTCCACACATGACTAATTTTCCTCCACCTTCACTGATCACTCCTTCCCAATCTGCTTTGCCAGCTTCCCTTGTTCTGCCATATCTGTCATGATAGAGTATCAGAGTTCTATCTTTGGCTCTCTCTTCTCTAACTACAATCTCTCAGATGATTCATTCAGTTCAAATACCATCTATATGTTAATAAAACTTAGTTTATGTCCCATGTCAATACTTGTCCTTGAACTCTGATCCAACTGCCTATTTGACATCTCACTTGGCTCTCCAATGGGCATCTCAAACTTAACAAAGGCCACACAGAACTATTGGGTTTTCCAAAAAAAAAAAAAAACAAAAACAAAAAAACAAAACAGAACAAAACAAAACAAAAAAAAACCTCTCCTGGGTCTTTTCTATTTCAGTACTCAGCCATTTGCACAATTGCTCAGGCTTGATACTTGGACGTCAATCTTGAATTCTTTTTTACCCTCAGCACACTTATGTTCAAAGTATCAGTAAGTCCTTTGTTCTACCTTCTAAAATTCACTTAAAACTTGACCACCTCTCAACACGTCCATCATTACAACTGGTCCAAGCTACCTTGCCTGGATGCTGTGATAGCCTGTGATTTTATGCCTCCACCACCACTGTTAACTCTATGATCCAGCCTCCACAAAGCCGTGAGTGAGCTATTCAAAGCATAATTCATTTTATGTCACTCATCTCCAGCCCCTACACACACATATACATACTCCATCACTACCTGCTTGCCTTGTCTTAAGTCCTTCCCACGCCTTTCCATTATATTTAAGTAAAAATAAAAACTTATCACTATGGCCTGCAAGACTCTACGTGACCCGTACGACCAGGTCCCTGACTGCCTCTCTGATTTTCTTTTAATCTCTCCCTTGGTTACTACAAGGGTGCCACACTGGTATTCTTTATATACCCTGAAATCAGCCTCATGCCTGTCTTTCCTTTGACTGGAAAGTGGTCCACTAAATGTTTAAAAGGCTGAGTCCTTAGCATCATTCACTGTTAACCTAGATGTCACCTCCTCAGAGAAGGAGCTAAAGCTGCTCATGTACACACACACACACACTACTTACCTCTCTCATGTTAACCTATATTATCTTCCTCATAGTATTTGCCAGGATTTGAAATTATTTTATTTTTTGTGTGTGTTTATTGTCTTTTCCCCCCAGTAGATCATAAGTTTCTTGAAGCTAGGAATGTTTTTTATAGGCATTTCTGTGTTCACAGGCCCTAGAATATGTCCAGTATCTAGATGTCACAAAATAACAATTTTTGACTGGTCATGGGGAAAAAAAATATGTCCTCTTCAGAAGAAAATAGGTTGTCTATTTAAATAAGATTGTAAGACTAAAAACTATGGACATCGCATGCAGTTAACCAAGGGAAATCTGGGACAGAGATGGCTGGAGAAGAAAAAGAAGAGTGGTTATGGTTGTTGGAGATAATTAGGCTTGTTTCAATATTATTGTAAACAGAAAATATACTTATTTCTTTAGAGATGTACTGAACCTAATAAAACAATGTGCTGTGATATTAAACTTTGACTGTCATAGAAGACTGGTGAGTAAAGAAATATATGTGCCTCTTGTTGGGATGAGCACTGGGTATAATATGTAAGTGATGAATCATTGTTATCTACTCCTGAAGCCAAGACTACAGTGTGTTAGCTAACTTGAGAAGAAAGAAAGAAAAAGAAAGAAAGAAAGAAAGAAAGAAAGAAAGAAAGAAAGAGAAAGAAAGAAAGAAAGAAAGAAAGAAAGAAAGAAAGAAAGAAAGAAAGAAAGAAAGAAAGAAAGAAAGAAAGAAAAAGAAATATAGGTGCTTGAACATGGAGCTTTTGAAGTGTTCTGTAGGTAAAAAAAGGACATTAAGAAAAGAATATAATGACACAAATATCAGGGTCATCTTTGGAATATAATGATCTGAAAGAACTTTTAATTTTAAGACACATTAATAGAAATGTTGCTTAGCTTAAAGTCAGTCTCCAGTTCACTGTTCGTATATCTTACAATATCTCCAACTGTCCCCCTACCTAAAATATAAATAATGTGAAAGTCCCATGGGAGTCCCCAAAAGGAGAAAGGTAACTTAACTTTAGTATTTGAACTGCAAAGTAGTGATCAATTAGTTTATTAATAATCAGATAATTGAGCAGGGGGTTCCTGAATAAAATGAAAAGTAGAAATAACCAGCAGGACAATTTTAAGAACCATCTCTCAGCTTTATAAACTAATCCTCCTCTAATGGCCCTTTTTAATGTAATTTATAGTTTCATCATTACCCTTTTTGTATTAGTAATTATTTCTAAAATACCAAAGAACCATCTTTTTTTCAAGGTCCTTCCCTCAGTCTGATTTACAACCCAGCTCAAGTTGGACTCTGTCTTTCTGAGGTTTGACATTTCAAAATATTTATTGCTCTTTTACATTAATGCCTTTCTCATGAATCTGAAGGTGACCGTTATTTCTTTCATCGTGTTGTAATTAAATGGATCAACTATTGCTTTATTATTTCCACTATTTGTCTGCACAGCACATTAAAACTTTCAGATTAGAAAGTGATATTGAGTGCTGTGTGAACTATAACAAACAAATATTTCCGAAAATATAGGGTCCTCTTGATGCATCGCTAAAGGAGCTGTTCCAAGCGAAAGCACAAAATCTTTAATATTTTATTGATCAGATCTAAACCTTCTGCCCAAAGTGGCAATTAAATTTCAATTAAACTGACTGAAAGCATCATATTAAATTTCAGCACTTTACGAGCTATCAGATAATGCTGCAGGACAAATCTTTAGTATGATCACACTCTTTTCAAATTATATTATCCTGTTCATTCACAATAAAAGTGACAGTTTTAGGTATACTTTCAATATTTCTTGAATATAAACCCTCTAATGAACACATTTTATTGCCTTTAAATCAATTATTATTGGATATTTTAATAAAGTGAATTGAGCACTTTGTTTTACACACTGCTTAGAAGTTATTATATTTTGCAGTCTGCACAGCAAAGAACTGAATCAGAGAGAGAGAGAAATGGCCAACTACCTGACAGTTTAGGAAAAACGGAATGAGCCATTTATAAGGAGGTGGGCTTCCTGTCTCACTCTATAACATTTAATGATACATGCTAATTAGCATTTGATTAATGGATTTTTTTTTCTTTCTGAAATTTAGGTGCAAGTTCTAAAAGTAGCTCTTCTCACAAGAGGAAGATGCTAGAAATCACAAAAACATACAGGATTATACCTTGTTTGGGAAATTAGGAGCTTCAGGTTTTTGCTTCTTTGTTTCTGTCTCCTTTGCCTTTTGGATTTGTGATTTATAACACTATATTGGAAGTTTTTAGAACCAAATTCATGTTAAATGTTGCCCAAGATCGTACCTATCTGAATGATATAAATGGAATCCTGAGGCAGTTTGTTCTTCAGACTCCAGACGTCTGCATACAGCTGGGGTGGTCAGTATTATAGCCAAAATGGCCAAAATGGGTGCTTTGGCTCTGTGCTGTCCAGATCCCTTGGCACATACTTGAGATACCATCTCATATTCACTTTGTACAAAGTTCAGTGTACTAGTCCCATTTTATGCATATATGGGCGCCATTAACTTACAAAATGGACAAACATAGCATGGAAAGGCACTTGGAGAGAGAAGACTAGGCAAGTGAGTGGCTTCAACTTTGAAAGAACCAAGCCGCATATAAGGGTCTTGCCCTGCTTTGTGAACGCAGAGATGCCTTTACTGGTGAAGTTGAAAGGATACTATAATCACCTCAGTATAATTCATTAGAGTAGATTAAATTAAAATTTAGATGAAAATCATGATTTCTTATTGAAATGATTTAATTAGATTATAGTCCCTAAAGTTGAGTAATTGAGTCTCAAGGCGACAAGGGACTTTAACAAGCCATTAAAACTATCCTTCTGTGTGGAGTTGGATTAAGGAACCAACAGCAAGTCTGTTCAGGGACCTGGCATCAGTCTCTAAGGATACAAGAACGTTATTTCAAGAAATACAGGGCAGCTAACTCTGGCTTTCACATACAACCCATATAAGAGGTAAGCTACAAATTGGTCAATTCCTGCTGAATTATTAAAATATTAAAAAATTTAATATTAAGTCACAATTTTAGAAATATTCCTTCCCAGCACTGTTTTTTCTGTTGAGCATGGTCCACATCAGCTGAAATTAGGCTGTTTACTGTTTACTTGGAATGAATGCTATAGGATCAGTCCCAATAGCAGCAATAAATTGTGGTTTAAAAAAAATAGGTAATACAAGCAATTTAAAAAAGTAGTATCAACCACTTTAGACTATCAATTGTACTTTAAGCAGTTGAAGTGAATTAAGACACCAGGCTCGGTACAACTTTTTTTTTTTTTTAATTTTTTTTTTTCAACGTTTATTTACTTTTGGGACAGAGAGAGACAGAGCATGAACGGGGGTGGGGCAGAGAGAGAGGGAGACACAGAATCTGAAACAGGCTCCAGGCTCTGAGCCATCAGCCCAGAGCCTGACCCGGGGCTCGAACTCACGGACCGCGAGATCGTGACCTGAGCTGAAGTCGGACGCTTAACCGACTGCGCCACCCAGGCGCCCCTGGGTACAACTTTTAATACAACAAAATCAGTTTCTCCTTGACTCAAATTCCTGAAAGGACCCGACGAAATGCTGTGCTAAGCAGGACACCAGGTATCATTCTTCACAGATCACAAATATGGGCATGGGAATTATTAAAAACACATTCTAGGGGCACTTGGGTGGGTCAGTTGGTTAAGCATCTGGTTCTTGATTTCGGCTCAGGTCGTGATCTCATGGTTCATGAGTTTGAGTCCCGCATCCGGCTCTGCACTGACAGGGTGGAGCCTGCTTGGGGTTCTTTCTCTCCCTCTCTCGCTGCTCCTCATCTCTCTCTCTCTCTCAAAATAAATAAACTTAAAACAACACCCACATTCTAACTTTAAAATAGTCACTATCAGTAAATCCCCATACACATAACTGGGCCCTAACTATAGCTTCAGTCTACTTATTTGGGTTCTGTTTTCAGTTAAGCAGAGACAGTTAACAACAGGCAATCCTAAAAATGATTACTATCATATCTATCATATCATATTACTATCATTTAATATCTTGGTGTTTCACCCATTGACAATATGGTATAATATGGGAGGGGAGGAGTTGGCCTCAGTTTGTTCAATTTTTTTGAAAAATAAGCATAGCAGAGGCGCCTGGGTGACTCAGTCAGTTAAGTGTTGGACTTCAGCTTAGGTCATGATCTTGCAGTTCCTGAGTTTGAGCGCCGTGTCGGGCTCTGTGCCGACAGCTCAGTAATGCCGACAACATTAAAATCTGGAGCCTGCTTCAGATTCTGTGTCTTCTTCTCTCTCTGCCCCTCCCCTGCTCATGCTGTGTCTCTCTTTCTCTCAAAAATAAATTGGCATTCAAAAAAAATTTAAAAAAATAGGCATAGCAGAAAATATATTTCCCAAAAACAGTTGAATCTTTCCAAGCTGAAAACCTCAGAGCCTGTCCACATGGACTTCCTCAGGTGAAGCTGGATGACTGGAAGGAAGCCAGGACCACTTCCTAACCACTCTGCTACACTCAGCCAGGCCCTCCGGAATTCATTCCCTTTCCTAGATGTCTTCAAAGTGTTTAGGGTGAGGCACTGAGCTGAGAGAACACATGAGAAAGTCTACTTATATTTATTTTTATCTAAAAATGAGAAAATTCATCATCATTGAAACAATATAGAATTTGACCCTGACAACCTCATTCAGACATGAGTTGCAGCACAAGAATAGACTGAGCGAGGTAACAATGCACAATCCCTTGTGCGTTCGCCTGGTCCAGCCAATCCCAGTACATATCCTTTGTATCTCCCCAGTTAGATGGGCTTCCAGATCACGTTGTCTCATTTTCACTAAACGGATCCTCAAAGGATGGCCACATGATTTGGAAAGATTCCTGCAGAAGAGCTGGTCGTGTAAGCTCATGCAACTCCTTCACTTACTCCTGATTGAGTGCTTCACTGTTCATGCTACAAAAATAATGATGGCCTAAATTGGTCTAACAAAAATTCAGGCAAAAAAGTTTTTAAATTATCAGGAAGACTATTTGAGGTTTAGATATACATTCACAATTACTAATAATGACCTTCACCCTGTTCACGTGACAAATATTTCCTGAGCACCTCCAGTGGGTTGAGCACTATTCTAGGTCCAGGAGATGGTGGTGAACAAAAAGACAAATTCTTGCACTCATGGGAAGAAGGGGAGGTGTATAATAACCTAAAGAAACAAATTATGTAGAGTATTCAAAGGTAACGTGAGACAAAAGAAGCAGGGAAAGGAGACGGGGAATGCCAAGGAAGGGCTTATAATTTTAAATAAGATTATCAGGGGTCTTACTGCAATAATGATACATGATGAAAATCTTACAGTGATAACCAGTGACACATATCAAAACTAAACACCCACTGCATGAAAACAAACATCTACAGTTTTAAAGCAGAGGCACTGGTTGGGGCGCCTGGGTGGCTCAATCGATTGAGCGTCCTACTTCGGCTCAGGTCATGATCTCTCAGTCTGTGAGTTTGAGCCCCGCATCGGGCTCTGTGCTGACAGCTCGGAGCCTGGAGCCTGCTTTGGATTCTGTGTCTCCCTCTCTCTGCCCCTCCCCTACTCACGCTCTGTCTCTCTCTCTCTGTCAAAAATAAATAAACCTTAAAAAAAAAATAAAGCAGAGGCACTGGTGAGATTCAAAAAGGAAATATTGTTTTAAAACTTTTAAAAATGCACTTCAAAATTAGTTCATTCCATTAAATCTTTCATTTTGTATGTTTTAAAAATAAATGTAATAGCACAGTGGGAACTGTATATTATTTATAAATAAAGAAATAAATATTCGTATCATATGTTAGAAATAAGTTCTCCAAAAAGCTTTACTGATGGGGTGTAGGATAAAAGAATTTGGGGACTCCTCCTCTCAACTACAACCAAAATAATTTTTCTTTTTATTACATTTTTTAAATGTGTATTTATTGTTGAGAAAGAGAGAGACAGAGTGTGAGCAGGGGAGGGGCAGAGAGAGAGGGAGACACAGAATCTGAAGCAGGCTCCAGGCTCTGAGCTGTCGGCGCAGAGCCCTACGCGGGGTTCTAACTCACCAACCGTGAGATCATGACCTGAGCAGAAGTCAAATGCTTAACTGACCGAGCCACCCAGGCATCCCATAAAGTAGTTTTTCTAAAATAAATATCCTACTATATCTCCTTGCTTATTTAAAGTCCTTTGATAGGCGCCTGGGTGGCTCAGTCAGTTGAGCGTCCGACTTCAGCTCAGGTCATGATCTCACAGTTCGTGGGTTCAAGCCCCGTACCGGGCTCTGTGCCGACAGCTCAGAGCCTGGAGCCTGTTTCAGATTCTGTGTCTCCCTCTCTCTCTCTTCCCCTCCCCTGCTCACACTCTGTCTCTGTCTCAAAAATAAATAAACATTAAAAAAAATAAAAAATAAAATAAAGTCCTTTGAAAGTTTCTGATTGCCCTATGGAATATATCCAGATTCTTGGCTCTTGAGACCCTGAATGACCTGTTTGCTCTCTCCTCCCAACTTCAACCTGCATTTCTGGGAGACTGAACTCCTACTTCCTAGGGTAGACCATTCTCTCCCTCACATCCTGGATTTCATACACCCTGTTACCTCAACTGGAAACCCTCTTTCAGGGACCTCTCTCTCTCTCTGTCTCTGGGCTCCATTCTTCACTTGGCCAACTGCTCTTTGTTCATGATGTGAGTCATTTCCTCTAGGAGGCCTTCTCTGACTCATCAGGCCCAGCTTAGTTGCCCTCATAAATGATCGGTTGGGTGCATATTTATTCCAGCCTCCCTGTGAGCAGTGGAGGGGCATGGGTTTAGTCTGGGTCACTGTTGCTGCTTCAGAGCCTAATCCAGTGATGGACATAATCAGTGTTTCACACAGATTTGTTCAATGAGTAAATGAATAAACAAATGGATGTAACCATGGCATATTTAAGTATTGCTACTAATTTCATAGCTTCTTTCCACACTAGTATAATTTAAAGTTCCATTGATTGTGCTGTCATAACAGCTTCTTTTATATATAGCTTTAAAACAGAACAATTTCACCCTGGATTTTAATTATTTTCACCTTGGGTAGTGTGATCACGGGTGGGATTTGACAAGTTCGTGGTGCTTTGGATTGTTCCTGGTATACAATGAATACTCCAAAAATATTTATCATCTGAATTTCCTTGAGAATGTAAGATATGGTCCTCAATTAGGGCAAATATATGTTCATCGATGATTAATTTTCACAAGACCCAACAATGTCTTGTGACTAGGATCTGTAATTTTATTTTGCACTACTGAGAAGGTTACCTCTCATTCAAATTTATGAACTTGAGATAATTTTTCCTTTTGTATTTTTAATTTATTTTACAATCACACTGTGAATATGATAGGTGGATGATTATAAAGTAGTAACAATACACCATATCTGTATAATTGTTTTATGTGTTTTGCACGCGCGGGCGTGTGTATGTGTGTGTGTGTGTATCCAGATGTGTCTTCTCCTGGTAGCCAAAGGCTGTCCTTACCTCACTGACACCCGGTGGTTCCACAAGGCCCCACCTTATTTATGATCTGCTAATTAGGAAAAACATGAGAGTAAATGGGACTATAAGGAACCAGACCTTCCTCCTTAAGAAAGACTGGTCACATACCCCCTGCTGGGAATTATGCAGGTCTTAACTCCTCCCGGTTGCACCAATCCCCTAATTGCTCAAGCCTTGGGACAGCAGAAGGACATGACAAAAGAAGAATGTTAAGAGCAGACATACCTGGACTGACTCTTGTAGTAGTCAGGCTACATTCTTTCCACAGAATTCTCTTCATTTTTTTTTTTTCTTCGTTTTTTTTCCCCTAAAAGCAACACCAATTTTTGATGGATAGTTAGGGGCAACTCCTCGCTTTGACCAGAAAAGAATCAAATCAATGAATGTAAACACAGAAAGAGATGCTGTTTGTTTAGAAGGACA